ACAGCAGAGATAGCCTCTTAACATTTATTAAAATAAAATTTGAGCAAATAATTTGTTCCCAATTTCCTTACTTTATGTATTTTACAGCAATTTTGTAGGCCAATTCCAATGTTTTAACCACTGTGTAGACCCAATCCAGTTGCCCTTCACCTTGTATAGTTATTTAGAACTTCAAGGTGGAGTTGGTAACATTTTTAACACACTTTGTACTGGTAGTATAAATAACTGCCCAAGACTGCACATGATTCTCACTTATTCCAATTGTTTCTTTCTCTGTCTTCTAGGGTGGGGTGCATAGACTCCATCCTACCACAGCCACTAAGGGGTTAACAGCCACTTCCTCAGCTGCATCTAATTTCTGGCTTAATGACAGTGGAGATAAGAAGGCTGCATGAAAGGACATCTGCTAGGAAGGCTGAGAACTGAGGGGAGTTTTCTCAGCAGCAAGTTGGAAGGAAGCTGCACAAGGAGCTGTCTTCCCCAGGATGATGAGGAGGAGGAGGTGGAGGTGGAGGTAGATCTGGAAAAGACACCGGGGGGAGGAGGGGAGAAAGCAGTCAGGAATTGTAAGAAACAGGTTTTAGCTTAAGTACAGAATCCCTGGGACTCTGCCAAAAGAGATGTCAAGCCTATGTCGTCTTACCTTCCTGAGAAAAAGATATGAAAGCCTCTCTGAGCAAAAGGGAATAAGAACTAAAAACCCAGACTGGAACTGATCACCTGATGTGGGGTGTATGGAATTTTGCCCTGTGGTATTCTTTATTACCCCATCAAGGATGAGATTAAATGGCCTGGCTGGAGCTGTTTGAAGCTGACTGTTACAGGGCCAGACTGTTGTCTGGTGGAGGAAACTGAGGTGGAGTTACTTCATCATCCTGCCTGGCCATGAGAGGATATTTTGGCAAATAAGTGATCTGGGATATGAGGTCATGAAGGATCCTACCCAACCCCCCGAGTGATTTAGACCAGATTTTGAGCAATTTCAGAGCTGCTTCAAGGTAGATAATGCTTCAGTAGAGAATACCCAGTTATCCTGGGGCCGGTGCTCCCGCTCACCCCCCCCCTCCCGCCGGCACTCACCGGGCGCCACGTGCCTGGGGCCAGCCCCAAGCACCGTGTCAGGGATCAGGTCGCTCCCTGCGCCAAGCGCCACGCGCCTGGGGCCGGTGCTCCCGCTCACCCCCCCCCTCCCGCCGGCACTCACCGGGCGCCACGTGCCTGGGGCCAGCCCCAAGCACCGTGTCAGGGATCAGGTATGTATGCGCGGCGTATAACACGACCCCCCCATTTTTGGGGGATGTTTTTTAGTGTAAAAGGTCGTGTTATACGCCGGAAAATACGGTAATTGTGTCCACACTAGGGATCTACTAATGTAACTATTTTGTTTTTTTAAAGTCAGTGTGGGAGGGATTATATCACCTTCAATAGCAAGAAAGCTTCTGAGGGGGGTATAAAGAAAGTGGAACTAGATTTACAATATAAATGTTCTAGACACATCGTGTCCAACATGCTAGCCACTAGCCACATGTAACTATTTGGCTGGTTGGCTGTGGCTAATTTACTGTAGCAGAAGCCATTACAGTAGCTATTGCTTCAGAACTGATTGCACACCATTTGGCTACGTCTAGATTGGTATGATTTTCCAGAAATGCTTTTAACGGAAAAGTTTTCCGTTAAAAGCATTTTCGGAAAAGCACATCTAGATTGGCAGGACGCTTTTCCGCAAAAGCACTTTTTGCAGAAAAGGGTCCGTGGCCAATCTAGATGCTCTTTTCCGCAAAAAAGCCCCAATCACCATTTTTGCGATCGGGGCTTTTTTGCGGAAAACAAATCTCAGTTGTCTACACTGGCCCTTTTGCGCAAAAGTTTTGCGCAAAAGGACTTTTGCCCGAACAGGAGCAGCATAGTATTTCCGCAAAAACGCTGACAATCTTACATGAGATCGTCAGTGCTTTTGCAGAAATTCAAGCAGACAGTGTAGACAGCTGGCAAGTTTTTCCAGAAAAGCAGCTGATTTTCCCGAAAAACTGGCCAGTCTAGACACAGCCCATGGTTCTAGACAGCAGAGATAGCCTCTTAACATTTATTAAAATAAAATTTGAGCAAATAATTTGTTCCCAATTTCCTTACTTTATGTATTTTACAGCAATTTTGTAGGCCAATTCCAATGTTTTAACCACTGTGTAGACCCAATCCAGTTGCCCTTCACCTTGTATAGTTATTTAGAACTTCAAGGTGGAGTTGGTAACATTTTTAACACACTTTGTACTGGTAGTATAAATAACTGCCCAAGACTGCACATGATTCTCACTTATTCCAATTGTTTCTTTCTCTGTCTTCTAGGGTGGGGTGCATAGACTCCATCCTACCACAGCCACTAAGGGGTTAACAGCCACTTCCTCAGCTGCATCTAATTTCTGGCTTAATGACAGTGGAGATAAGAAGGCTGCATGAAAGGACATCTGCTAGGAAGGCTGAGAACTGAGGGGAGTTTTCTCAGCAGCAAGTTGGAAGGAAGCTGCACAAGGAGCTGTCTTCCCCAGGATGATGAGGAGGAGGAGGTGGAGGTGGAGGTAGATCTGGAAAAGACACCGGGGGGAGGAGGGGAGAAAGCAGTCAGGAATTGTAAGAAACAGGTTTTAGCTTAAGTACAGAATCCCTGGGACTCTGCCAAAAGAGATGTCAAGCCTATGTCGTCTTACCTTCCTGAGAAAAAGATATGAAAGCCTCTCTGAGCAAAAGGGAATAAGAACTAAAAACCCAGACTGGAACTGATCACCTGATGTGGGGTGTATGGAATTTTGCCCTGTGGTATTCTTTATTACCCCATCAAGGATGAGATTAAATGGCCTGGCTGGAGCTGTTTGAAGCTGACTGTTACAGGGCCAGACTGTTGTCTGGTGGAGGAAACTGAGGTGGAGTTACTTCATCATCCTGCCTGGCCATGAGAGGATATTTTGGCAAATAAGTGATCTGGGATATGAGGTCATGAAGGATCCTACCCAACCCCCCGAGTGATTCAGACCAGATTTTGAGCAATTTCAGAGCTGCTTCAAGGTAGATAATGCTTCAGTAGAGAATACCCAGTTATGTCCTCAAATCTACCCCTTACATTTGCACAGGGGATATTCTGCAAGGGCTTCTCCTGTTCATTCTAAGGTCCACGTCTGCTGCCAGAGCACAGTAAAGGAGCTTTAATAAAAAGGAATAAAGAATTATGGTACTAAATAACAGGGAACTGGGCCAAATTTAGATTGCCAATCCTGCATTTCACAAATATGGGATTTTTTTTTAGCATTCCT